CCTCTGTGACTTTAGCAAGTCTCATCTTTACAGCCAGTGATGTTAAATAAACAGGTCACGTAGCTCTTCATCTGTCACACCCCACAAATCACATTTTCCACCATTAAAGTGCTATGTGTTTTGGCTTTTAATTACCTGGCTTATCAGCATGTAATATTTTTCTCCTTCCCTGCAATAATTACATTCTGAATCAGTGTGCCATTCAATATTGACCTTTATTTATAACTCTCACAAAGAGTTGAATGTTTATTTTTAAAGCATGAAAAGCAAAGTTTGTAAGAATATTGATTCAGTTTATTTAAAAAGCAGTGGCCTTGCATTTTGTGAGTAGAAGTAATCACAGGCAATTACTAGCGACTGCTCTTCACTACTAATCTTGGGTTTAACCTTATAATTGTATTACTGAATTTGCTTCACTTTGCTCATATATATCACCAGGGTCCTAATAAGAAGTCTGATAGCAACATAATTTAATAAGCTCGAGGGGAAAAATGCTTTTAATTGATTTAAAAGAAGACAGACATATAGGCAGTGCTAGGTACTGAGGAAAGAAGCATTGTAATGTTCTTTTTAATTTTGCAATAAATGATAATTCATATTTAAATTCATTAATGAAATAATTTCTTAGTGGCTGGGTCACCAATTTTTAATGTTGATGTTACTAACAAAATCACTAACTGCTCCTAATGGTGTCCCTACGCTAAGCTCCACTTTATACCCGGTATATAAGCTACTTTGATTGCTGGTAGCATGAAATTGTGAGTGTGAAAAGTAAAGTCAAACTAAGAATAATTCTTCCTGTCTTTATCCCAGTATATATTGTGTGGAAAGTGGCCACACTCAGAAAGAGCTTAGAGAAAAGCAAAACTAGCAAACACTAACTGAGGCCCCAGATCTATGCAGACATAATCTGTGTTGACTTCATGTTACTAGACAGCTAATTTTAGAGCAAGATCCAGTGAATATGTAACTGTCTGTTTGGGATTAAATTAGAGCTCTGAGCAGCAGTAGGGTAATGACAACTGTCTAGAGACCTGGACAGGCTGGAGAGCTGGGCAGAAAAAAAACGGATGAGGTTTAACAAAAGCAAGTGTAGTGTCTTGCATGTGGGGAGGAATAATTGCATGCACCAGTACTGGCTGGGGGATGACCTGCTGGAGGGGAGCTCGCGGAGAAGGACCTGGGTGTCCTGGTGGACGACAGGCTGGCCATGAGCCAGCAGTGTGCCCTTGCGGCCAAGAGGGCCAATGGCATTCTGGGGTGCATTAAAAAGAACGTGGCCAGCAGGTTGAGGGAGGTGATCCTCCCCCTCTACTCTGCCCTGGTAAGGCCTCATCTGGAGTACTGCGTCCAGTTCTGGGCTCCCCAGTACAAAAAAGACAGGGATCTCTTGGAAAGAGTCCAGCGGAGGGCCACGAAGATGGTGAAGGGCCTGGAGCATCTCTCCTATGAAGAAAGGCTGAGTGAACTGGGTCTGTTCAGTCTTGAGAAAAGAAGACTGAGAGGGGACCTGATCCAGGTCTATAAATATCTAAGATGTGGGGGGCAGAATGGCGAGGCCGGACTCTTTTCAGTGGTGAGTGGAGACAGGACAAGGGGAAACGGCCGGAAACTGCAGCATAGGAAGTTCTGCACAAATGTGCGCAAGAACTTCTTTACAGTGAGGTGACGGAGCACTGGAACAGGCTGTCCAGGGAGGTTGTGGAGTCTCCTTCTCTGGAGATGTTCAAGACCTGCCTGGATGCCTACCTGTGCGACCTGGTGTAGGGAACCTGCTTTGGCAAGGGGGTTGGACTTGATGATCTCTGGAGGTCCCTTCCAACCCCTACAATTCTGTGATTCAATCAAAGCATATTTTATACTTAAGTAAAAATGTTAATTTTATTAACAGTCTAACCTGCTGTTCAATGCAGGTTAAGATTAGAGGTCAGACTCTACAGGACCTTGTCATATTAGAGAGCTTCATACAATCTGGACAAAACCATCATGGATGGAGACTGCACAGCCTCTCTGCCTTCCTGTTGGAAGCTCTTTCTTGTTTCAGCTCATATCCATCACTTCCCATCATTCTCCACTATAAAGTGTTTCACTGGATCTCCTGCACAACTGGTAGGTGACCCCAAAGCCACCTCTCCTCCAGGTGGAACAAGTCTCAGTCCCACATTCTGTCATCCTACTGCAGCTTTCCCAGTCTTGACCATCCTGGCGGCCTCCACAGAACTTAGTGCCTTTCTCGCATGGTAGGGGCCCAAAACCAAATACAGTGCTCTGAATGTAGTCTATTAGAGCTATACCTGTTCATAAAGCAAAGAACTTGTACTGTATCTGGAACAAACTATCAAGCATTTCAAAAGATTTAAAATCGTTGCTTTAATGTCAAAAAACAAATAACACTCCACCCTGCCCCTCCCCATGAATGGACACACATGAATCAGGAACACTACTGAGCTGTCTCATCTTCAAGTGATACTATGATAAGGCTCCAGTTAGGAATACAGAGCTAATGATTCTCATTATAGGATCTTAGAATCACTTAGCAATTTGGTGATAAACCCTATTCTTGGAAGGCTTTATGTCCCCAGAACCCAGCAAGAGATATGTAAACCTTTTGGGGGGTATGAGAGAAAGGAGACACTTGAACATTCTGTATGTTTATATAGATATATATAAGGAAAGTGACATTTCAGCAGACAATTAACACCTTAATATGTTTGGGATTCGCAAATTACACATATATTTAATTACTTAGGTGGCTTAATTCCTACAGTTTGATCCTGCTAATACAGCAAGATCTAATTCGTACTGACAGCAGTGACACCAGAACTAGGCATTTTCACTTAAAGCTTGACCAACGAGGGCATCTCTGCTGTTCACAGAAAACCTGGGGCTGTAGATTTATGCATTCTGTGCACAGAGTCTAAGCAGCCATATCTGCCTCAAACCAGGCTAGATGAGTTGGGAATTCATGTTAATTGTCATTGTTTAGAAAAGACTGCAACAATTGGCAGTGCTAGAAATAAAACGAAAGGTGACTCTGTAGCCCAGAAAGACTTGAAAGGAAGAAAATTCAATTTTAGCTAAGTAGCCAGGTTTATCTGTTTCATTTGCCAGCTTCTTAGTGCAAAATGACCATGTAATTCTATCATATTCTTGCTTCTCGCTCTGGTCTGTAGCTTCTGAATTTGCAATTGCAAACTATCGCATCATACAGGATAAGGAAAGTTCAGAAGCCAGTTTCTTCATCATGTTGAGCACATCAGACGCTATATCAGCTGCCACTCTACTTCACCTTCTTGCTGTGATTTACATGAAGAGAAATAGTTCTTTTGATGAAGAGGAATAGCTTAGGCTTGCAATTGCAAAAGGCAAACATCAAAATCCTGTGTACAGTTATTGTCTTGAAGTTGTTATTTCAGTGTTTCATAACGGATGTCACTTGAACACTTCAAAATTCAGAATATCACAAAATCATGGAAATATATGTTCGCTAAGGTTGGAAAACACCTCTAAGATCATCAGGTCCACTGTCAACCCATCACCACCATGCCCACTAAACCATCATCCTTTGAATACTTGGCCTCATAAGGATGATATCAGTTTCTTTCTCCCAGCTTCACCCAGCTGAGCCATTTACTTGTTATTGGGCTGTTAGAAAAGCAGACTGAAAAGATTCTAAAAATGTTTCTAAAACGTTTCTAAAATGAATATGTTTCTGAAAGATTATGGTCACCCTTGGTTTTTAATTTGTGCATTCTGTTTTTTAAGCACTTGATGGTTCTTTCTTTTAAAGTTGTGACACAAAATGGCAAAAAAGATTTTTCTTACAGAAATCAAGCACTCAAAAAAACAACCAACCAGCCAACCAACCAACCAACCAAAAACAAACATCCAAGAAGCCGTCTAATGAAAGAGATCAATCAGTGATAATTGAGAGATGAGAACTTGGGGAAGGAATGGATGTACTGAAGTAGGAAATTGGAATGTTTTCTGAGCTTACCATCTGGTCAGATACTCACTTTCTAATAAGCATGAGATAATTTGTCTCCTTGCAGACCAGAATCATCTGCCAATGATACTTGGTGTGGGTTCCTTTGCTGCTTGATGTGTAACCATTCCCTGTAGGCCATTCCTACAGCAATGGTGCTGCTTTTGTCCTATTTGGAGGCATTTAATTGTGCGTCTACTGTTTTTTCCCCTTAACTTAATCTCATGCTGGTGTTATGAATTAATAAGCTACAGAACTACGTAAATATAGAACCATGAAATAGCCAGATCCCAGAACAGACATCTAATTGGATCAGCAATTCAGAAATAAGTATACCTGATTTTGAAACACTATGTAAGATAAGGTAATTCAGGCACATTTCTGGTACCCAATGGATTATTTTTGTGTGTGCATTGCTTTTTTATTACATAGCTTTAATTATACGTAGCCTTCTAGGACTAAAATTGTCATAAATATTTGCATCGATAAATAATTAAAACTAACACAAATGTGAGTCAAATTGTCTTTAGGGAAAGCTCAAGTTCCAGAGATGTCAGTAGTGGTCACATCAAGAACATAACTAAACATTTCTAATGAAATCCTCCGCCCAGTTGCATGATGAATGAATGCTATGAGGGCTCTGCTGTCCTAGAAAGAAGCAGCATAAATTTACTTGAAGCAATTTAATTCTGATCATAACCATAATCTTTTATATATGTTGCTGGTTTTGAATTACTAATGATGTGATATAAAATTGATGTATATCAATATTTCCTTGCGTCTCAAGCACAGGGAAATGATTTCCAGTCAGTATTGCCATAATATCTCCAGAAGGAATGAAATACAACTGTTATCTCTACCTGCATACTCAATATGTGTCTACCAGCACACACACACGCATAAACCCAAAAAATCAACACAATATTAAAAAAGAAAACAAACAAGAATAATCATATTTTGATTGTCTATTAATTTGAAACAAATTCAAACTTAAGAAACTCTGATTTCAGATTACCTTGGATACTCTGTTTGCAACCTCTCTGCCTACTGTCAGCCCCTGAACAAAGGTCCGTGCAGCAATGAAAGCTCTAGTCACTTGAACCTTCAGCTTCCTGGGTACATCTCCAAATGGTTTCAGCTGGTCTGTATACTTGCTTACACACTCCAAGTAGTCCTCAGTGAAATGATACTGGGGGTTTATGAGCTGGAACATCCTCTCCAGCAGCCGAGCCCAGAAATCATTCAGCATTTCCTCCAAGTTCACATTGCCTCCCGTGTAATAACGCTTCAGTTCTGTGAAGAGATCCTGGAACACCTCTGAGTTCTGCATATACAGTGTGCCGTATGTCCGTACGAACATATCATTTAAGGACCTTTCAGCGTTCTCAAGAAGTTCTCGGAAAAATTCTGCAAAGTAAACAAGGAGACATTAACAAGGAGATATTAGTAAAGCATAAAGGGTTTCTTGATTGCATTCCCATGTAAACATTCGTAAGGCTTGTCCTAATATGTTGTCACTACACTTTGCTATTCAAATTAATCTATTTAGATAAGAAATAGCTTTTTTTTTTTTTTTTTTTTTTTTTTTTTTTTTTTTTTTTTTTTTTTGTGTGTGTGTGTGTGTGTGTGTGTGTGTGTGTGTGTAGAGGCAAAGAAAAACAAAGTATATCCCAGATTTCCCAAGAAGGTAGAAAGATGTAGCACTGTAACACTGAACACCAAAAATACCCTTAAATAATTTCAATGAGCGTACCTCCATTTCCCTCCATTTCCTCTCCACTTACTATTTAATGCAGATATCCCAAACTCTTGCAAAATCTTTCACAGCCAGTATACTAATTCTGGTATGCTAAATGTCAAGTCATTAATATGATGACAGAACTGAAATTGTAAAAATTTTAAAATAACTAGACAATGATAGGTTCTATTGAGATGAAGTTGTTACAATATAGAGGAACGCTATAGAAATAAAACAGAAAATTAATTTGCAAATATTCTTGAATGCTGGAAATGAGCAGAATATCCATTAAAAGTATTATTTGGTTAGGAAATGCTAAGAAAATGTTAGCATTTTCAATAATCTATTACTCCATTGAAGTACTTTACTAGAACCTTCTACCATCTGTGTCAGACTACTAATTTCAATTTGTGTTAGTTGTATTGGAGTAGCAGACTTTATGTTTTTAAATGCATTTCATACTTTACTAATTCTGTGCATCTCCTCTACTCAGGCCTGTACCATTATCTATTTCTAAGTTTTGATTTCTGGAATTTATTATTACTGGGAAATGAGCCCATGGGATACCAATCACTGTAGAGATCCCTGAAATCTCTCCTTGTATACTGGAAATATGCAATCATCTCTTTTGCTAATATCCTTTATCTGCTGTATGTCGCTTAAGTTTTCCCAAGGAAGTCACTGAGATTATAGTCATTTTTTAAACATATCTGACAAAAGCAAACACTGCTGCTTTTGTTTTATAGAAGATCCCATCTTCCTACAGAGTCCATTTGTCAGCCTTCTTAAATCTCCTTTGGAAAAGGGGTCAGTGATTGCTGTGGTCTGTAAATGGGGCATTGCAGACAGCATGGAAGAGATGGCAACAGCCTTGGCAAAACACGTATATTTGCTGCTATGAAATGATTCACACATATGCAGGAGTCATCACGCAGCCAGCTCTAGGATGCCAGATTCTAAATACGTGGTGGTTGCCCATAGACACATCTGTGTGTGCTCTCTGCAGGGACACGCTGGATTCTTATAGTTTTGGCTAATGTTATAATGTGAATACCCTTTTGATAAATAGCCCTGTTGTGGCTACAAAGACTCATGAAAATGCAGAATCATTTCAGTGCTAAAGACACAATAACAATTAAGAGCACCAAAGAAAAAGTATGCACTAAATATGAAGATGTACAACAGAGATCACTTGAAAGCTGACTTCCAAACACAGTGGCTGCACAGACTCTGTGAGAAAGGAACAACTCCCTTTTGGCAGAAACAGTGCAGAATTGCAGTCTTTGATCTCCTAGATAACTGCAAAAGAGTTATCATGAAAAATGCATACATGGAACACTGAAAACACACTCAGTACATCAAAGCACTCATTAAAGGGAAAATACATTCTAAGAAGTGTATCAATGTCTAAGCTGTCATCAAAATCATAGCTTCTTAGATGGCATAAATTCTTTCTGGAAAAGAATATGCTTTCACCAAAAAGTTTATGTAGGGAAACAAACAAACAAAATCCCCCACAAAACCCCAAACTTTGTTCTTCTCTGTTGCCAAATAGAGTAACTTGAGGTCCACAATACACACTTCAGAGGTATTCTCTGCTGTTTTTCCAAATTGCCCACTAATTCTGAAAATTCAGTTTTAGAGAAAAACAAAAACAAAACAAAATTGTTTTTCACCTCCCCCCCTGACATATTGGTATCCTTGACGTCTGAATCACTGACTACTATTTTACACAGGCAGCATTTCTCCTTCTAAGAAATAATAAATGCTGTCTCTATTGCTGAATACATCTAGCTGTCTACTCATACATTCTGGAAGACAAGAAGATGGCTGAGAATTTAAGACTCAATCCAAGATTTTAGACCAGTGCAATTGAATGGCAGTTGTGAAAGACAATCACAAAAGCAGTGAATCTAGACCCCTCAAATTCTCTCCCATTACAATGTGTATATCACAGGGCTGCTCTAAGAGATTTAAATGTTGGCTCCTCCAATCCATAGCTATGCTGAGAATTGCACTATTCATCTGGAAAGATTGTGTAAGTCTGTCACAGTGAAGCATAAGAGTTTCAGTTGCTGACAGCTTCTCTGGTCAGAGATTGTTTGCATTTTGTTTTCTTTGCACAGGCATATGATATGGCAATCTTGCAGTCAGTTTCTTAGAAAATAACAAAAGCTTTTAAGGAGGGTTGGACTTTTATTCCATACTTCTACAACATTATCACTAAGTGTACAGTCTTAAATCGCATGCTAGACTAAATGTGACACCAGACTTATACATTCTACGGGAAAGGTGATGCACTCCCTGAATAGCAGTATATTTATTTAATTTTAAGTCTTCTCATAGGTCTCTATTCTACTAAAAAGTTAGACCTTTCATCTTCCACATGCTTCGCTACAAAAGAGTTTAAGTGTTATCTTCATCAGTACCTCTATACAGAATTAGGAAAATAATGCACCACTAGCAGCAAAATTGGACACTTCATTCAGTTTCAGAGAGAAGTCCTGTTGTATTGATTAGAAAACATCTTGATCTATTCCTGTCCAGCAAAATGAATACTGTTGTAAAGGGTCACTTTCTTTCTCAGCCAGGAAATCTTCCATGCATCAGGAAAGTAGACTGCTCTGTGTTGCTCTTGTACAGTTACTCTTTCCTGACATAACTGGGCACTTGTCCAGCTACATGAAGAGAAACTGCACTTGCTTCTGCACTGGCTGATTTTTTTCTATGGTGTTCATAGTAATTTAAAGATTCTATGTTCATTGCAAAGATGATATTTCACCAACTTGCAGCTACCTTTTGAAAAATAATCTAATATTTCAGCTCAAAGTAAAAGAACAAAAATGAGACAGACATTAATCACGTTGCTTAATGTGCTTCTGGAAGGCACTCAAGTACTAGTGTTGGAGAGGAGAATCTATATAAGACAGAGCTGCACAGCGTTTGAACTTATATATCTTGTAAACTTTTTTTGCTGCCAAAATTGGTTGTCATGAGCAGTGTTAACACTGGAAATAATTTTTCGTAAGTTTAAATGGAAATGCTTTTATATGATAGAATATGTCCTGGGTGTGTCTTATGTTACAAACTCATTTTTATACATCTTCCATCTATTAGACAGATATTCATCAGGCAGAAGGCTCAGGTCTACTATCGAAGTAATTCAGAAGTATAATGTCAAAGGCGTATTGAGCTACAGTGCAAAGAACTGAAAAGAAAAAACAAATAATGTGATTTGAAACCTTTACATGCATTATATGGACTTAAATGATGGGTTTGGGATCAACAGATAACACTTCAACTATTTTTAAACATTATTTGTACATGTTAGATGGAAGATCACAGTCTCTGCAAATAAAGTTTATTCTTATTAAACCTCTAGTCTATGATGAGACAACTCAGTGAAAGGGCATGTTGCATTGGTTAATGCCCCTTACCGGATGGTATGTAATGCTCTCGTTAAAAGTCAGGTCTTAGTTCTCCTATTACACTGTCAGCTGGAAGCTGACTTTCTCACTCTAATCCAGTGTTAGAATTTAATTCAACCTGTGAGCTAGTTGACATCACATCAGCAGATCAAGATTGGTGATAATACTGTAGCATGACATAGTGCAATAACTCCCTTCATTAGAATATAATCACAACCATCTAGAGACAACAATTCACTAAATAAAAGTTGTATTGTGCATGAGCTGATATTCTACATCAATTCCCAGACCGATAAGTTCCCTTCATTTTCTTTCCATATGTAGGATAAGCAAAAACAACGTCTGGAGATCAACTTGCAAAGCTAGAAATAATTTGCTGCTTGATTCTTGAAAACAAAGATACATGCACAGAAATTAAAACAAAATACTAAAAGGCAATTTTGTTTATTCATGATGTATTCTGTGCATTTTTTTTTATTTTGCAGATCTTTAGTTTTGAATGTTATACTGTGGTGCACTTGGTATGCTGAATATCCAGTACCTGAGAAAACAACACAGTTGCAGAGAAGTCTACAGAGATTCTTGCCACATACTTGCGTATTTTTCATCAGCCTTTACAGAAAACATTGCCCAGGGTGGCATACTGATGTTGCTCCTCATTGACACTAACACCACCACATATAAGTCAGTTCCCATTGCACCTTTTTTCTGCTCGTGGGTGTTGATTTTTAAGTTGATCGCAAATTCTAGAAATCAACCATTTACTGTGAAGATGTCTATGCCCTTACAGCATATGGAATTTAGGTACCTAAATTCGTTTGATGCCTTTTAACAGATCTAGTGATATGGCTGATGCTAAAAGGTATATTAGAATTCACATAAGCTGACTGTTATTTGGGACAAAAAAGGGATCTTTACATAAAGATACTTACATTGATGACATACATCAATGACGATCACATTCTTTTCTTCAATGCCCTACTTCTTTCTTTGTTTCTTTGTTCATGAAGAAAATACTTTTTCTAATGAACATGGTACCTTTCTACAGGATGCTTGAAAAGGTTTTTTTTAATTAAAAAAAAAAAAACAAACGATGCTCCACGATGATACTAAGTAGTGAAAGTCGTGATTTATCTCATTGAAACTCTATTGAAATTAATCTGAACTAGTTCTGTTCTGTTCTGTTTTGATTTGTTTTGTTTTTCATCTTCTTACTATTTATTTTAGGTTTCAGAGACATT